ACCAAGGGCCGCCGCGAGCAGGCCATTGCGAACCTGTGCTGGGTCCGTCAGTTGGAGCCCACTGATATCTATATCACCGAGGAAATCGCTGCTATGGATCAGAGTCTCGAGGAGCAAAAGGCCACCATCGGTGTCGGTTTCTGGAAGCCCTTCCAGGCTCTCGGTCAAGCCAAGAACCTGCAGTATCGCCTGTTTCTGGGATGCATGCTCTTCTTCTGGCAGAACGGCTCTGGAATCAACGCAATTAACTACTATAGCCCGACCATTTTCGAAAGCATTGGTGTTCAGGGCAACACGAAGGGAATTTTGAACGGTGTCTTTGGTGTCGTCAAGGCTGTCATCACTATCGTCTGGTTGCTTTTCCTGGTTGACCAGCTCGGTCGTCGCAAGCTGCTGCTTATCGGTGCGGTTTGTGGCTCAGTCTGCATGTGGATTATTGGCGCGTACATCTGTGTGGTGGAGCCTACCAAGCATCCCCAAGACCACCTCAACAGCGGTGGTATCGCGGCTATCTTCTTTTTCTACCTCTGGACAGCCGTCTATACACCTACTTGGAACGGTACTCCGTGGGTCATCAACGCGGTATGTTCTTCTGTGTTTTTTCTGTCATATTCTGCGCAATCCACTGACTGGTTTGAGCAGGAGTTCTTCCACCCCAACATCCGTTCCGTGGCGCAGGCCGCCACCACCGCCAGTAACTGGCTTTTCAACTTCCTGGTCTCCCGGTTCACGGAGCAGATGTTCGAGAAGATGGGATACGGCGTGTACTTCTTTTTTGCCTCCCTGTCGTTCCTGGCATTCTTCTTCGCTTTCTTCCTCATCCCGGAGACCAGTGGTATCCCTCTGGAGGTGACCGATCAGCTGTTCAAGATCAAGCCGATCTGGCGGGCCCACTCCATCCTCAAGGAGCAGCTCAAGGAAGAGGAGGAACGCTTCCGTGCGGAGATCAAGGATGGCATGTTCGACAAGCCCGAGCCCCAGGAGCACCTGGAGAACACGAAAGCCGCATGATGATGGGAGTTTGTCGATTAGCCTGTTTTGTTTTGGTTTCGGTTCTTACACCTAGACGGATTGTATATATGCGAACGATAGATCATAGACCTGGATATATATTATTTTCTCTCTTTTTGGACATCTGCGTCTGTTGGTAGTGAAGTGGTTGAGTTGGATCAACGAAATACCCAGCTAAATAATTGACATCAAAAATGACTTAGCCTCTTTTATCACAATGCACTTGAGGTTGTTTTCTTTTTCTTTCCCACCCCCCCCCTTCCCCCTCGAACCTGTCCGAAATAACTAAACTTTGTAATGCATGATGGCGAAATGTGGATGCCTAAAATTCTCCGCTGACTATGCTGCAGGAGGGCCCTGCATAAGTTTTCCTAAAGACAGCCCCAGTTGGATTGACCATCCATTCCCCCCAAAGACAAAGAGAAAGGGGAGGGCACCGCCACCCCGGGGTAAAAAAAAGCCAAGTGTGCAGTATGTACAGTACGGTACATACACTACAGCAATCCCTCGCTCCGTGACGCGATCGGGTTTGAAGGAGGTTTTTTCAGCGGTCGAACTGCAGGTGACTCGTATGAATCTTGATTTTCCTTGGTGGTGTCACCTTCCAAGATGGGGAGGAAGATGGAGAACTGAAGCCTTGGGGAGAGAGAGACATTGGCGTTAGTAAGTCTTCTAGGTACTACAGGGGGAAAAAGCTTTTTTTTTTCTGTTGTTTCCTCGGGTAAGTCAGGTCCGGTCCGATGTTTTGAATTCGATATATTTACAGCAACTATGGGGGGGATGATAGGTTATGAATGAAAGTTATGAATTTCGTGTATGTATTCAGGGCTTGGGGGAGGTCATTTGAATAGCTGGATGGACTATTTTAGTAAGATTCACGGCTCGGAGTGAATGAACTTCCGACTCAATAATCAGAATACGGAGGAGGGACTGAGAGGGGTAAACCGACCCAGTTAGTACCTTAGTATTCACTAGCTGAGTCGAGTCTTTTTTGTACTACCATTTGTGGTAGAAGTGGGTAAGGTAGTCAGTCCACCTGCGTCCCATGTGTGGTACAGCACATACAGACATACAGTTTGCTGCTGTATGTATAGGGAATTTAGACACTGAAAGAAATGGGTGGTGGGTGCATTTGCATGCAAATGCCGCTCCCCTCCGTCCTTCCCGGAGAAGCCCGGGACCATCTGACTAATGACCAAAGAAACCCCCCCCCCCCCCCCGAACAGAAAAAAAAGGTTCCAAGAAACCCAAGAGTCCAAGAGTCCAAGAAGTCCAAGACCTGCACCCTCGGGGCGGGAAAAGAAGCGCCAAGAGAGGTATGGGGAGAGGAATTACTTGGTATGTTTTGGTATTTTGGCCACCCGGTCATTCTTGACTTCTTGGTGGACGTTCGATAGCGAAAACAAGGATCAGACTTTTACATAAGATGAATCCAACTATAGTAGAGCTACGTATTGTACAGTACAAAGTAAGTACCTAGTGAGGTGTTGGTTGGAATCGTAACAATAATCCGTTGGCTGGTGCTTCCTTCCCTCACGGCTCCAAATGTCAGACACGAGAATAGGCTCCACAGGTCTTTGCGGAAAAAGGAAAGGCATCGATTCCTGCAAAGTCGACCTTCGAGACTTCCAGTCGCCATTTCTATGAGGTGATGATAAGCAGGCAGACAAGGAACGAGGGGGAGAGAGAGGGAGGGGGGAAGCGCAGGACGGAGGGCTAAGAAGGGTAACTTGGCCAACTTGGCAAGTTTTCTTATGCGGGGGGAAAGGGACTACCAGGACTAGTCTGTCCGTCGGATTGTCAGACAACATTATTCTCATGGCAGCTAAGCAGATAAGTTACGGTCCCTATTGCGGTCCCTAGATCATAGTAGGACGGACTAAGTCAGTCAGTCGGTTAGTCCCATGTGCCAATACGGGGGCGAGGGAGAACGGTTATTCGAGGCTTCGTTCAAGCCCACTAGGACTAGTTTCGAATCCCTTAAGCTCTAACCATTCCGGCCGGCACTAAGTTAATTTTAGTTGGAAAACTAATTTTCGCGGTGGATGGTGGGTTTGTGTCCGTGGGGGAAATTGTTTAGCTTTGCCGTAGGGGAAAACGAAGGCAGTTAAAGATTGACAGTGACAATTGAGAATGTTTCTCAGCATGAATCAGAGGTATGATATCAGCCTAGACATAAACAGATGTCCTGGCAGGGTGTATGTAGGCTTGTGGTGTAAACTTTCTGTAACTAGTAAGTTGGTTACCTGGGTGCAAAAAGAAAAAAAGAAAAGAAGAGTCAGAAAAAGAAAGAGGCCCAGGCGATGCCATGCCACGCCACGCAGCCCCGCACGGTGTGTCTTGGCCCGGACAATGCCCAGTCCTGGCTTGGGCTTCTTGTCCGTCCACTGCCTACTGCCCATCTCTTTTTCTCCCCTCCGCCCGGTTGAGTCTTCGCCTTTTCTAGGCAAGGCTCGTCTCTTGCTCTCTCGCTCTCTCCTCGGCTCGGCCCCAAGACTTTCCTCCCCTGATTCTCTCTTCTGAAGGCCCCCTCCCTCCTCCTCCTCCTCCTCCCTCCCTCCCTTTCCA